CAGTTAAAGAGAAGAGAGCAGCGTTCAAAAAATGGCTTAGAAACAAGGAGCCATCTACACGTGTGCGATATGTCGAGACACGCAAGGCGGTAGCCATAGCAGTGGCAAAAATCAAAGCTGATTCCTGGGAGAAGTTCGTCGAGATATTGGAGTCGAGTTTCCACACGGCAAACAAAGTATTCGCCGTCTCAGAGGTACAAAGAAGAGTAATCTAAGAGTCTTGAAGGACAGGCCAGGACACGTTGTTACCGAAGATAAAGACATTCTTAGGCGGTGGAGAAAGTACTTTGAGGAACTCCTTAACCCCAAACAACCGAAGGAAGACTCGCCTGTAGAGCAGCAGGGAAGGTATATTACTCTTTCTGTAGATGAAATTACAGAAACTGAAATAAGCGTGAAACGTGGAAAGGCTGGTGGAACTGATGAAATCCAAATGCTCAAAAGAGCAGTTATACAAGGCATGCACTGACTTACACCTGTCTGGTCTGTAACTGCGGTGGCTGCGTGGAAAACACCAACGGACTGGAGAACGGGAGATGTAGCCCCGTTGAAGAATGCAGAGCAATGTGAATACTACAGTTATCGGGGCATCGAGCCTCCAATGTAAAGTCTGTTCAAAGGTGCCGCGAAATAATTCCAGTGAGTAGTCAGTGGCGTTCTGCGTGAACTAGCCCGGCCATTGTGAATAAAGCAGTCCTCCGTCTGAAAACGATGCTCTCCGGTTTTTGTCCCCATGCTTAACTACGGTCATGAGTTGTGGACCATAAGATTCGAACCTGGATACAAGCTGTGAGCTTTATGAGGCGAGTTGCTGCCCTTACGCGTCTAGATTTCGTCCGGAATCATCGAATGCCTTAGTACACAGCCTTTGCTTCTCCAGATTGAGAAGCCACAGCTGCGATGGTTTGGGCATGTGTTGCGGATGCCTCCAGGAAGGAAGGCTAAGCAACTGTTTCTTGCGATACCGACCGACACAAGGCCCAGGGAACAGCCAAGATTAACCTGCTGCAAATGTATTGAAGGAGTCTGCTCTAGACTCCGGTTGGCTTCAGTCGAAGTTCAGCCTCTGGCACAGGATCGGTAACGCTGGAAGGCACCGTCTTACGCGTCTGCCTGCGCGGCCCGAAAACGGAAGCGGTCATAGAAGATGGAGATGAAGAAATGTCGGTGCCGGAAAATAAGTTATCAGATTTTTGGAGGGAGACAGTCTTTGTACAGCAGGTAACCTGGGCATTTATCAGTTATTGGTTGATAATTCGAATTAGTTTTTACATGAAAATGGGGAAGTCATCATTGTATTTACGGATTATAATACTTAAGCTTTGCGTTCACTGAGCTACACGAAGCAATTACTTTGCACTGGCCTAACCTCACTTCGTATGCAGTACGCGCTTTATATCGAAAAAATTTTCTCACTATTCGCCATCATCCTTAAGATAGAGAATGTCTGTATCGTGCTTGAGATTTTCTGCGATTCATGGCGGAACGAAAGAAGCGCTAAATGACACATCTTCGAAAGGTCATTGTTCTTGGCATTATGCAGATGATGTGCGAACGATTCCCGTCGTATAGAGAAGTACCTCTAGAAGTGTCTTTATCCGGTTGATACGCTGTTATGAATACTTAATAAGTATGTATGTATATATCGTTGAGCGGTATCCCATGTTCGTTTTCCTGTGCAAAAATGACGGATATGGGCGGGATAAATAGCAGGCTTTTACGCGCGGTGAATCGCATTAGCCAGTCAAAGTTATATTCTTTCTGAAACAGTGGCATTCGAATATCTGGATTTCGATCATCAGGAAATTTTATTTCGACCTAGGAATGATTGGCGTGAACGGAAATGATTGTGTCTGGCTTTTTGCATGAGAATACCACCAAGCTGCAAAGGCATGGTATACAAAACAGTGCCAGCGTACTGTTCTGCTGTGTTGATTAGTCGAATTGTTTTTCTTTACCTTGTAAATATAGCACAAAATTCTCTTTTTGGATATGAGTTAAGGATTCCGCGTTAGGTTAACTTGTTTTCGAGAGTTATGTGTGATACTAAACACATGCATGAAGTAGTCTCTTGGCGTCCTGTCCATACCGATAATTAGTACTATGCAGCCAAAACTGACAGAATGTGGAAGCGAAATTCTGCGAATGGAGAAGAGTTCTTGAAAATTCGAGATTTGTCTCAGTAGAAGAAGAACGAATAGATGGAGCGGTGTTTCAACGGATTAAGCAGAGGAAATACTAACGAGTCGGTCTAGAGATGCGTTCATCTCCGTTCTAAAACTTAATTTACGCATGTTGGTATCATCGGCGCAAGAATAGGCTAATCAGTGTCAAACAGTTGTTCGATACGGAAAGGTCGATTCGAATGGAAAAGGCTAAGTACTGTTCTAGAACCAGAAAATGACAGTTGACTGGAGGGTAAAGTCGTTTAGAACAGTAATCAGTCATTGGTACGGTAAGACGCTGAACTTTGGTGTGGTACGCGATCACGCGTAGGTGACGGAACGATGCAGCTGAGTTAAACAACGTGAAAAGGTGGATGAATAGACGAATGCCCAATTTCAGCCAAAAGAACCACGTTAATTACTTTCATAAGTACACCTACACGCGCGCGCGCGCGAAAACTTACTAAAGCCGGAGCATGTAGTGTCGTTGATGACCGTTTCGTGCCATAGCCAAGGATTGTTTTATTCTTGTTACTATTTTTGAGGTTATATCTACAGGAATGTGACCACTGTAGTGTTTGGTTCCTTGTTTTCTTCTCACAAACTGGAAGACAAGAAGAGTAGAAGACAGACAAGCGGAAGACGGCGTGTGGTTTACGATGTGAAGTTGCGCCGAGTGGTCAAAAAATTAACCTGCCATGCGCAACGTGAAGAACTTTACACCGGGAAAGGACAAGAATACTGAAAGGGTATTTCTGACTTGTTGAATTTCATCCTCTCGACCTAAATAAAGAATGAGGTCAAATTAAGACCTAATTAACAGAACTGTGAACGAAACAAGCACGGCGACGCTGAACAGACGGCCTCATAAAACGGAAATAGCCGAATGCAACGAACGTAGTCGATGCAACGAAATTCGTCCAAGATAAGATATGGCAACTATCGCCCAAAATTTTACATCTTGCCGCCTGCCCTATGAACATAACGAAAACTGATACTATTAAACAAAATTGCGATGACTGGCCTGTCGAATCGCAGTCGTTGAAAAGCAACGGAACCTGACTACTTGGTTTTCGTTCTTTTGAGAGCATCGGTCAAGTGAAGTTTACTGCTCTAGTTTACGGACCGTAACTACTTTTCATTTCAGCTGCAGTCATAAGCTCAAGCTGATAAGGGAACAGCCAGGTGCGGTTTTTAAATGTTGCTGTACAGCGAAAGACTCAGTTCTGGTACATGCGGTACCAGCTTGGTGTAATAAGAGCAGGCGTTCCTCAGCCGAACGTTGCGGAATCCATTAGTGTTCAATTTAATGACGACAGGCAATTGTCAGGTGGCTATATTTTCTTCAGGTTTTGCAGGATTTGTCATCCGTGTAAATTGCAACCGCATCTTCCTTCCTTGTATTGCCGTTATTTTGTCCAGTGCTGCTATTTTTCTGATTTCTTCCTTTGTTCACAGCTAACCCGCATACCTCGGGTTATTCTGCAGTTCGTCACCTTTGGATACGGTCGTTTCACGAATGGAACTGAGACGTGTCTAGCATATTGGAAATGTCCGTCCGCTGTTAAGTCCGTAGACTTGGCCTGTCATTTTCAGTAGAACTGTTGTTGCTCTGGGCTCTGCGTCATTTGCAGGGAAATTACATCAGCTGTAACTCATGTTATACATTTGTGTCGGGTAGACATTCCGTTGCTATTAAATGCGATATGCCGAGCATCCTAGAATCATAACGAATGGTCTTTCTTAGCATTCTGGCATTGTGACGTATATATTTTATAGCCATAATGAATTTGACACAGCATAGGCCTACACATTCGATCGAGCTGAGTACAACATTAGATATTAACAAAATGCTTCGTATCTGTTCAAAGTGAGTCGATCTGATTCAGCGGCTCGTTTAATGCACCTGAGCAGCGCACTGTATTTCTGGTCTGCTCTGTTAGGTAATTTTGCGTTTCCGGAGCTTCGTTTTATACTGTTACGCTTTTGGGTCGGAATTTAAAAGTGCTCATTACTTTAAACTATGAAGTCTTTACGTGATTTTATGTTGGAAATGTGTTGTCCAATGCGCCGGTTTGTTATGCGCATGACTACCCTTGACGCTTTTCGCTACTTGATTAAATTGGTAAGATTTTTTTACATTTTTTCTCAGCACTGAATGGGCATGAATTTTCGAATTGGTAACCGTTTGATAATTTACGAAATTTGTCAGTTGCAGTTATGTTGTATTAAAATTGTTTTGCTTCAGACTGGGGCAT